CAAGATATAGGGGGAGATCTCCATGATTCAACTCTTCAAATGTGCATTGCCTCAAAAGAAAATTCCTCACTATGCACATCTTCAGGAGGAGTTCTTCTATATCTTGCAATCAAATTTCTCAATATCAGTATTTACACTTCATATGTTTATCCTCATTGAAAACTTAACCTATATTGTCATCAATCACCAAAAAGGGGGAGATTGTAAGTGCATCTAGTGCCCCTTAGTGATTTTTGTGTATTGAAAACTTATAGGTTAAGGGTCTAATGCGTTTATGAGTGTACACAGGTCTATAAGTCTATGAGAAGTTTGATATTTACAGAGAAAGTCGACCCCTAAAAATGAAGTACTTCGACTGAAGACTTTTTAAAGACTTTGAAAGTGAAGCAATTGGTGTGACCTTGAAGACTTGGTATTCATTTGAGGAACATGAAGCGTGAAGACTTTTATTTTCGTAATTTCGTTTTCTCTTTCTTGAGTCATAGGAAACACTGTACTGTTAAAGGGGGTCGAGGAAATACTAAGGAAAAATTTCAATGTGATGCTCAACTCAAAATCCTACACCTACCAATACCTTCGAGTGAAGCCATTGGAAATCCCATACAGTTCAGTCAATTTCTTCAGTGATAGAGACGAAGTTCTTCGGGTCGCTAAGGAATTTGTTCTGACTGAGAAGTTAGGAATTCGCCAGTGCGGATTGCCTACACAGTGAGGAACATGATAGCCCTGAGGAATTTGAACCTCAAATTTCCAACCGTTGCTGTGCTACGCGCCAACTGTCTCAAAATATCTTATCCACCTAACGGTCATATTATTGAAGGGCATTTATGTCTTATCATGTCGGGCTGCTCCCTAAGCTATAAATAGTCGCCCCCTACAACCACTAGCTGGTTGGCTGCTCCGAGAGAAACTGACACTTGTCAATTGAGAGTATCCCATCCTCCGAGGACTTTGAGTGAAAATCATCAAGTGAGGAAAAACCAAACCGAAATACCTACAAACCCGAAGTGATTGAGCATCACACAAGATATTGATCCTGCGTGGATCCAACGCTTGTTACCTTTGAAGACTGTGCTTCTTCCAGACGGTTAAGCGTCATGGTCTAGAGCATCCAAGAGGAATTGTGGATCACCGAGTGACCAAGTTTGTAAAGGTTTGGAAGTCGCCTGAAGACTTACCACGAGTGATTGGACGAGGTCAGTGTGACCGTAGTTCAAGAGAATACGGTGAGGACTTGGTGTCCTGAGCTGCGTGTTCAGGACTGGGTGTCCGGGACTGTGTGTCCTCGAGTTTAAATACTCAGCTGCTCCAACCAGACGTACAACTGAGACAACAGTTGGAATTGGTCTACCAAATCATTGTCTTCACCAAGCTTACTGGTTCTATTTCCTCAACTCTTTCATTTTTTTATTACTGTGTTAAGTGCTTCATCATATCTGTGTTTGAAGACTTTGACAGAACACTTTCTCAATTTTCTTAGTTCAATTTCTTCAGTCTGTTTGTCTTCATCTTGTGTTATCCTGTGATTACGCTTTTCGTATTCTGTGCTTGTCTTCATTTCATTATGATGACCATGTCTGTATTCTGTTATGCTTACTTCTAAGTACTTATTCCGCTGCAAGTAGGTCTTCGCTAGGCAATTTCCTCACCGGCAAATACTCAGTGAAGAATTCATAAAAGTCGTCTATTCACCCCTCCCTCTAGTCGATATAACGCACTTTCACCGCTGGCACCCGCTGGCACGCCTGACGGCTCAGGCTTTGTGGAAGATTGGGTTGGCGTGTTCGGAAGCCTCGGGATTCTTGTCGATCCGGTGGACCCCATCGGCATACAGGATTGCAATGTGCACATGCACAAGGACAAACATGTTCTTGGTTAGCCTATCAGAGGGCATTCCGGCTACACGGGGCTCTGTAGTATTGGAGAGTGATCTGTATGCCGTAACTACCCCAAATCAGCGTACCTCACATATCTGATCACATGTTCAGGATTTTTGCAACAAGATTACACGAACACTTTCTCTGTCCTGACCGACCCGCAGAGGCCTCCCCGCTGCCCCAAAATGATGCGCGATACAAAAGAGGTTGCTAGCGTCGAACCCAAGGCGGAGTGTACGTTTAGCGAAGAGGCCAGGTCGTGGTTCCACTGGCTCCAAGCAGCAAGCGATGCTCAGATTAGGAAGTAACGCCTAGCGCATGAAGGCGAGATCATTTCCGATGAGGCTCTGCAGGCCTACGTGGAACTCTTCTCGCGCCCATTGACAAACTCCCATATTGCGGCCATATTAACTCGATCAAATTACCGCATTTAAAAAGGAAATACACTTCAGCATCTTCTTTTCCCGCAAAAAAATGTTTTTAATGAAATCTTAACAACACCAACAGCGCAACAAGACACGTTCAATCCTTCAAGTCTATATCCGTACCGGATGTATAGCATATGAATAATTTTCATTACTAAGTTGGATGGATCCGGTACATTGGACGGCCAAGAGCTGCAGGCCATCAGATCAAGTCATATGATGCACTGAATCCTTCCACATGGGATATGGGATATTATACGAGTAAGAGCATCTCCAACAGGCGCGGCAAAAGGCGCGCTCGCGCGGTAAAATTACGTTTTAGCGCGCGCCGGCTGATTCCGCGCGCTACATCGGTGGCGGGAACTTACCGCGTGCGGGAAGCACTTGCGCGCGCGGGAGAAAGCGGCACGCGGCGCGGTAGATTTGGCGCGCCGCTTACCGCGCGCCTATAAATTGTCGCGCCCGCCACGCGCACCGCACACAGCCACGCGCCCTCCCCTCGCGAGCTCGCCGCTTCGCAGCTTTTCGCGCCACCACCGCGCCACCATGCCGCCGCGCCGTCGGGGTGCTTCGGGCTATCACGGCGTCCGCGCGCGTCCCAACGGCTGGTTCTCCACCGAGATACGGTCCGGCGACGTGTGGCTCGGCCTCGGGACATTCCTGAGCGCGCACGAGGCGGCCCGCGCGTACGACGCGGCGGCGTGGTGCTTGGACAGGCCCCGGTCGCAGATGAACTTCCGGGACGTCTTCACGCGCGAGCAGGCGCAGCGCGTCGCCCCTCCGCCGCGTCTCATCACCGACCTCGACCGTGCCGACCATGCTCGGCGGCTGCGCCGCCTCCTCGTCGCCGAGGAGGACGAGCGAGCCATGGCGGAGTGGCGCCGTCGCCACCCGGAGGACGTCGCCGACGAGCACGCCTACTGGCCGGAGAGGACGGCAAGGCACCGTGCGGAGCGGGCTGACCGGCGTCAGCGGAAGGCATTGGCGAACGAGCAGTGCGACATAGTTTCAGCAGGTGGGAGGTCGTTCTTCACGACCGACGATGACCGTTGGGACGACATATGGCTCTCAACCTCGGACGACACCGACGAGGATGATGATGATGATAATGATGGTAGCGACTTGGAGTAGTTTCTATCTATCTATCTATGCCGTAGTAGTGGCTATCTATCTATGTATGTCGAACTATCTATCTATGTATGTTGAACTATCTATCTATCTATGTAAAATATCTTGCATCGTTATCTATGCAAAAAAAATGTTCGCGCGCTGTATTTTTACCGCGCCTGCTGGAGCTGCGCGCGCGCGGCTTTACAGCGCGGCTGCTGGAGCAAACGCCGCGCGCCGCGTTAAATCAGGCGTTGGGCGCGCGCCAATCAGTTTTTAGCGCGCGGCGCGTTCGGCGCCTGCTGGAGATGCTCTAAAAAATTTGGATTTGCCGCGCGCGCGCTTCACAGGGATCCATGTGGAGTTACCTGGCAAGAACATGTCGACTATTCTCTCCCTTTTCGTCGCTTGCATTTCCTGAATCCACCGCTGCATCACTCCCATCCGCCGAAGCCCTAATCCCGGCCCTTCCAGCCGCCTCTCCCTCTGCAGTCCGCACCATGGCATGGAGGACAAAGGCGGGAATGTTGGCCCTGGTGCCGGAGCGTTACTGGAATTTGGGTCACGCACTGGAGACATTCAACTTCACAATGCTGGAAATCAGGTAACGTAGAGTGATTCTGATAGTGGAGTCAATTTTCTTGTTGATCTGTGCCTTCCGAAGTTCTGATCCAACATTAATCAAGCAATGCATTGCAGTCTAAAATCCGTGACCACCAGGTGTTTGCGTTTATGCGCACAAGGCTTCTCATTTTTCTATTCCGTACTTCCCAATCAAGGAGAAATCGAATAATGCCAGGAAATCATAGATTCCAACCTAACGTGGAGAGATTCTGATAGTGGAGCCAATTTTCGTGTTGATCCGTGCCTTCTGGTCCAACATTAATCAAGCTAGCTATACATTGCAGTCTAAAATTCGTGACCACCAGGTGTTTGCGTTTATGTGCACAAGGCTTCTCAGTTTTCTATTTTGGCGACCCCTACTTCCTAATCAAGGTGAAGTCGAATTATGCCATGAAATCCTAGATTCCGACCTAGAGTTTGTTTATTTGTGTGTGTGTGTCTACAAAGCTTTTCGCGTTTTCTGTCCAATCTTATATGCTGTTATACAATTGTATAAATCTCATATCCAACAAATGTTTGATGATATCTATAGCGATATATAGCACACAAATAACTTTCAATATGGACAAAATCCTAGAGGCTCGCTAGGTTGTTACAAGAGACGGCGGTCAGATGGCATAGTCAGCTAGTTCTACAATGGGGTCGACCCCAAAACAACACGGGAAAAGAAATCTTACTAGAAAGTACTAGATCCTAACTACATCTGTACAGTTGTTGGAGTATGGGACCCACACCATCCTTGTCGCCGGCTGGCGGCTAGCGTGAGATGAGACGGGAGGGGCCAACAGTGGAACAGAGCATTTGCGAACAGAGCATAACAGAGCACATGGTTACTTCTTCTCCCTCCAGAGTCACTTGCAGCGCGAAAATGAGAGGACGTCGCTTTCCGTGACTTCTTTCCTGAATCTTCAGGCAGTAGAGATAACAGCTTGGACTTCACCTGTAAGCACAGCACATCTCCGTAGCTTTATAACATAGAAGCAAGAAATGTCGTGTACTCCGTTGACTGTAAAGAAACGGTGGGGTACCTTTTAGTTCTCTTTCCTCGTAAAGGACCACAGCTATCAAAATGGGTAGCCGTGTTTACCAAATTTGTGACAGGTCTCTCCTGACCCAAATAGTAGTTCGTGTCTCCTGCAAAATTAACACATATAGTAGTTAAACCAATGCCCAGATCACAAACTGACGGAGATAATTCTGGTTAATTCATGGAAACAGTACGTAAGATAGGAATAACATCTCTCGGTCTGACAACTAGATTGCAGGAGATGATGAGATGGAAGAAGTGACTAAGAAACAAGATGGCTGATGAGAAGCGGGGTATACCTATTCTCACATGACCAATGCAGGAAATGTTGTTCCATTCATAGCTTCCTTCCTTTTTCCAGCTTTCCGCCACCTCTGGATCACATTTTTTGATAATGAAAGACTCCAGCGAAGAGGGCAGATAGGGAAACGGGAGGTGACAGGGAACTACATCAAACTCCAGTCTCTTGAGAGAGCAAAACTCTTCTAGCATTAACATAATCATCCCCACCTTCAGTATCTCCAGGGACTCAAGGGACCTTCTATTTTGTCTCATCCATTGCTGAGATATTGTGCCACAGCCAACAGAGATGATCAAGTTTTTTGTGTTACACAATCTACTCAGTGGCTCATTTTCTAACATGCAAGGGGTATGGATCCAGAGTGAGTAGACCTTCAGGGAGACCTCGAACGATGAATCTCCATCCATTTCACCTGTTTCTGCAGCCAGATGAAGCTGCTCACAGTCTGTAATTTCTAGCCAACTGAGATATGAAAGAGCTCCAAGCCCACCCAAGGATGACAAGAAAATACAGTCTTTTACAACCATTTCTCGAAGTGCCGTGAGACTCTGGAACACCTCTGATGATGGAAGAGACTTCACCCTGGAGCAGTTGCACAAACTTAATGATTTAAGATTAGTCAGACCAACCAGTGAATCGAGCAGAGGAAGTTGGAGGTCACCGCACTGCATCATAGACAGTTCCTTAAGCGTGCAAGGGAGTAGTCCACCATCAACATTCTCCATCATTCTCAATGAGTAACAGCTCCCAATACAAAATTCTGTAAGATCATTCATGCTCCCAAATGATAAAGGAGCATGTTTTAACTGTGCACAGGCAACAATCTTTAGGATCCGAAGAGTGCAGATATAGTGTTCCTGCAGTAGAAAGCTCTCTGACAACGTAGTCAAATTTGAACAATTGCTTATGATGACTGATACTAGCTTGGGTGCTGTGGTCTGAGAATCTACATTATCATGGTGGGCCCCTATTCTTGGGAGGATTTCCAATCCAACATTATTTATTTCCAACTGCATCAAAGTCAGAGGTAGAAGTGGTAGATTCCTCAACTCTTGACATCCTTCCACCACTAGGGTTTTCAGATTTTGAGGGAAGGAGTCACCAGATGATGGCCCAATCCGTTCCAATCCACTAAGGTTTTGCAACTCGAGGTGCTTGAGTAACTGCAGATTTCCAAGAGACGGGAGGTGCACCCAGTTTTTGCACCATCTCAGCTCAAGTGACACCATATTGACCAGAGGGTGATGGTTTATCCAAGATGGGAATCGGACACCACTATATCCTGTAATTTCCAGATTTTCAAGACAAGCATGTGGCTCAAGTTTATCAAGAACTAGGTTGTCTTCCTTTAGATCATCATTAGTTTCAGACCAGTTAAGTGACAGTGACCTAAGATAGGATTTATCATTTAGCTTTGCCTGGATAACCTCTTCATGACCCCCAACATTCTCAAGGTTGCACATTTGTAGCTTGCAAAGGCTTGTTAAATTCTTTAATGAACTTATTCGGTGACCTTCCACTGACTGAATTTTGAAGTTATACAACTCTTGCAGTGAAGTTAATCTGCCAACAGGAAACTCACCATATCCATTACTACCATAGGACACATACCGCAGATGAAACATGTTTTCCATATTCTCCACTTGTTCTGATGTTGTACCTATTCTTTTCGCTGCAGTAAGTACTTGTAAATGATAGAGCTTAGAAAGTCCATGTATTTCCTCCATCCTAGAGACAGAGATATAACGAAGGTGCTTATTAGCAACTTCATTTGGGAAATAGAACTTGGTTATCCCTTTTAAGCTCAATAACCGCAAGCACTTGACAGTTTTTATGACTTCCTGCAGTGCATCTTCATGACCAGCACTGACATGATAAGAGTCTTCCATGACGAGTGTACACAAACTCTTAAAGCAGGAAATGGCCTTGATCTCCTCACATGATAACTTGCTGAAGTTTGCTATCCATAAGTGTCTAACTGTACACTTGTGATGCAGAAAACCACCGGATTCAAGTCTTAGGCATTCACCGATAGAAACATTACGTGCCAATTCATGCAGTAAATCATGAATGACATAATACTCCGTGTAGTATTTCTGGTAAGGATCAACTGTTGGCACAAAAGTAAAGAATGACTTTCTTGCCAACTGCACAAAGTATCTTCCTCCCATGTCTTCTGGCCTTTCGGAACCACCTTCAGTTTGTAGGATCAGTCCTGAACCCATCCACATTTTCACAATGTCTTCCTTAAACTTGTGATCTTTTGGAAATATGCTACAGTATCTAAAACAAAGCTGTAAGTGCTCAGGTAGATGATGGTAGCTCGATCGAAGAACAGTTGTGACGATAGCATCAGTGCTTCCTTCTAAATGTTCTAATTGTCTGTGCAGGTCCTTCCAATGCTGATCACTTACATTGCTTTGTAGATGGCCACCTGCAATCTTTGTCACCAAAGGACAGCCATGAAACTTTTCTGCTATTTCTTCAGCAATTGGCAAGAGGTGTGCATAATCTTCCAAATCCAAACCATCAAATGCATACTTCTTGAAGAGCATAAAATTTTCATCTTCATTTAATCCATCTAAGTGCAAATAATCATTTCTACTTCTCATCACACCTGCAACCATATCTGCCACAGATCTCATTCGGGTTGTCAGCAGGATCTTGCTTCCTCTCTGCATACTCCGCAAAGGAGCCATTAATGTTTCCCATTCACTTGTTTTGCTATCTTCCCAAACATCATCCAAAATAAGTAGAACTTTCTTAAGGCCAAGTTTGTCCCTGAGAATCTGTTGCAATGCTTCCAAAGTATCAGCATTAGGCTTCTCTTTTGTAACTGCCTCCAAGATCTTTTTCATTATCCTTGTTGAACTGAAAACATTATCAGAAACATGTACCCACAGAATACAGTCAAAGTGTGCTGAATCTTTCAACTCTTCGCAGACAATCTGAGCAAGGGTTGTCTTTCCTATACCTCCAATTCCGATTATTGCAAAAATCGGGACTCGAGTAACTGTATCTGGATCATCATATACATTATGAGTCAACCACCTCATAACCTGGTTCTTCTCACTGTCACGGCCAAAGATCTCAATAGGCACCAAAGTGGAGCTAGTCTGCTGTTCACTGCTTTCAGCATGATCTTGCAAGACAAGATTATCAACACGGCATAAAAGCTGAAGGAAATTGCCCACATCTTGAGCAACACTGTCTAACTTCTCTATGGCCTCCCTCAGCTTCTTTGCCATCCTACCCTCAGAAATCATCCTTGCAAACTTGCCAACAATCTTTTCTTTGTAAAACCTTGTGATTGGATTACGCACCTGTTCTAGGTTGTGGGCTTCTGCCTCTTCTTCAAGCTTGCAGTAGTCCATCTCATCAAGTACATCCTCAGCCCCCTCGACCTATCCAGTGCATCGCTTTGCTCGCTGATTTCCTGACGATCAACAGCATCATACACTGCTTGGATCTTCTTGAGCTTCGGTGGCAGACTATTCTTGAGCCGCTCTAGATCTTTAGGCTGGTACCTCTTACTGAGATAGCCGAATGCCTTGTTCACGATGAATGAGATGGCCGGTGTTGCAACCGATTTCCCTGCAAAGACCAGTGCAGCAGTAGCTGCCATTGCTGTGGACAGGAGGATTGGATCTCGCTCTCTCGACAGGAAACAGAAAGGACAAGGAGGAGTCAGGAGTCAGGACTAACACAACCAAAGAAAGATCTGTGCAGGCGACTTGTAGTCCTTGATTCCACAATATAAGCCTCCATTGACTTTAAGCAACGATTTTATAAAATGATATAGTATTAAAATGCTAGTAGATCATATTATTTTCGGTGGGACATGGAGCTGGAGCAATCAAAATCGATTGCTTTGACGTGGAGATACCTTTAGAGAGTTGTGTTTGACTTTGGAATCGTTCACCCAGATCATTAATTTCTGTGGAAGCACGTATTGTACTTGTTTATGCCAAACAACAAGTTCCGCGCAAGCACGTCATACATTAATAATAGTGACAAGAAACTTTCAATAGAGTGCATTACTTGATAACTACTCCGTATAGTTATTAAGTGAACATCATGGATGCGCCTAATGCCGATGGATTTTAATCATGCAACTACAGTTTTGACTATTGATCAATCACTCACATGATCTGGTTCCAAGGTAGGGTCAACCGGTTCTGGCTACTGGTTTATGGTCCTTCTGCAGTTCTGCATCTAGTGCACATGTAACAACTCAAATCTGAATGCCTGAGTTGCTCATCATATCAGTGAATTGTTCCAAACTTGTATTAGCAAGACAGTAATGACCACCATCTATTCGTAAGACTGTAAATAATGAAGATATCAAAGACTGTGCTACCTTAGCCAAGAGGTGATGTCCAGACATTAAAGGGTGGGTGCTCTTTAGCTGTATCGAATTTCATCTCTTCCTCACCTTGTTCAATATGATGTCGAGGGCTGGAAGGATGGTGCTCCTTGCACCACCGTAGATGCCTCTTTTTTGCCAAAAGAAAAACTGTAAATACTACTTTAGGAACACCGAAATAAGGGGTGGGGACACAGTATAGAATCTTGCAGAATTTCAAACATACTAATAGTAGACATTTTATGTACCTCAAATTAAGAGACATGCTGTGCGAGGAGTGACTGGTGCATATTTGTTCCTGGTGCGAGGCTGTACAAGTTGGATTTTGTTTTTAGAAAGAGGTATCGTTTGATGGAAAGGAGGCAAAGAACCCTAATCAGGTGCGTGTTGAACTGTTGAAATGTAGGCGAGGGGGCAAAGAACCCTGAAGCGACTTACCAGATGAGAAGAGTAGGCATGAATCAACACAAAAGTACTTTTTGCTCAAGCAAAAAGTGGCGACACAATAGGAGCACTGGATGTTGATCAGTTAACAAGTGGCGTATGCTTTCCAGGCAGAGGTGGAAGATTCAGTGACAAGTTAGACCTGATTCTAGTGTTGCACTTAAAAAACTAAGCTGCATCAGTTTTAATATATAGCCATTTTGTTGAACATAGGTGGAAGTAAATACTCTCCTTACTTATAAGACAAAATTTCATCTAATCTGAAAAAAATGTTATCCCTACAATATTTTCATGTACGGTTGAAACAAATTTTAGTTTTGTTGGAATCATCTTTTGGCTACCATGGAAAACATTGGACATGAACGATCGAAACAATTTCAGTATGTTGCAACGGAAACATCTACCACAAATGGTCGAACCAATTCCAGTTGTCATCAATGAAAATTCTTGAATCGGCTGGTTGATCAACTTCTTCTGCGTTAGAAACAAAATAGTTGTTTATAGTAATTTCCCATATAAACAGCATTGTATGAAACTGCATTCAGTTATCTCTCTTCATCAGTGCATGCAGCTTGTTTGGACAAAAGAAAGATGTGGGCAGCATGCATTCAGTTATCGTTCACAAAAAATTGGGTACAGGACACTCAACCTGAAATTGTGGCGCATTTAGTTTGCTGTAGAATACTGAAATACTTTGCTCGGCTACAATACAAATTATCCGTGTCAAATGTCGAGATTGCCCCCATTGAGATGAACAGTCACACAGCAGTTCTCCGTTATATAAGAGCTCACACTGGCTGAATGAACAGTCACCATTCACCACTTACCACAGCAGTTCTCTTTCTCTTCTCTTCTCTTCTCATTGCCTGCACGAGGAGGGAGATGGTGGTGAAGAAGAGAGTGGCGGCCATTGCCGCCATGTGCATGCTCCTGCTCCTCATGCTGTCAAGGCCATCCCTTCAGCAGTTCTCCGATCACTCCTGCGACTGCTACCGAAAGTGCTACTTCGAGTGCAAGAACACCTTCCCGATGCTCTGCAAGGTCGTGTGCGGTGGCAGCTGCAACGAAAACAAGGACCCTGTCGTCACCTGCATGGTCGCCTGCTGCACGGACTCTATCTGCGGCCTGCCACCGGCGCCGTCCGGTAAGAGGACCTACCACCCTACTTTGTGGGTCTGTCCGTAGAGGCACATTGATGGAATATGTGTGCTCCTTTTGCTGTTATTTTGTTCTGATGTTCTTGTGCTTCCACTGCCATTTTGCATATGCAGCTTGTGCTCCGGATTGTTTCCATGCATGCAGCCAGGTGTGGGGTGGCCATGGTCCCGCCACAGAACCTTGAAGATCTAAGATCGGTCGATCATGGGATCATACGATGTTGAACGGCTGCACCAATGCAATAAAATGTATCTCACTTCGGTGCACTACTTGTGAGAAAGTTTGTGAATCTTATAATAAAGCCAGTTATCGACCCATTTGGCAAATACCTGCTAATTTTAATGTGTCTTTGATTTTATCTTCCCCTGTCGTGAAGGCAAAAAAAATTGAAATTCATCAGTCAGAACCAGACAAATTCATCAGTACACACTAAATGGGACATGAGCAGAAATTCGACGTAGGATTTCCCCTATTCATACAACATGGGACAAAATCAAAAGAAAACAGTGAAAATGAGCACACGCATAATAAAAGAAACACAACATGTACCTGCATTGTACATAGACTTTTAACAAAGACGATAGTCACACACACCAAACACACTGAAGCACACAGGCCCGTGTATGAAAGAATTCAAGTTCAAACATTAGCCAACCCACCGAAGCCTTCACCATATCTCAAAAATAAGTAAAACTATCCCAGTAGCATTGCTATGCTACCGAATATATGCAAATTTTGTTAAGTAATAAAAGTGCATAGTTGCAAACAATTCATAAGAGATGTCATTCCATGCAGATACTTCACATCTCCAGGCACTTTAAATTGCAATTTGGCACTTACTGGTACTAAACAGCAGGTAATTAAACATGTAGTACACAATAGTTTTTACTGGTATGTGCCATCCCATATAAACAACATTGTATGAAAACTGCATTCAGTTTTCTTTCTACATCCTAAGGGCTTGTCTGGGAAAAAGAAAGATGATGAGCATCATGCAATTGTCTTATCAGTTTTTTTTTCTGGTATGACCTATTCCATTGGAGTTACATTCGGAAACTTGTAAGTTACACTGGTATGCCATCCCGTTAATGAACTCTGATTGATCTCCTACATGCAGCTGTATAGTTAAACAGAGGTGATTTTTTTAGATGAAAGGATCGAACCGAGCCCGAGTAGGGCTCGATCTTCACCCGGCTTTGAATTAACAAAGCCATCAACTGGCCAGGATTATAACAGCACACCAACAACCAAAGATAAAAAGGAAAACGGGGATGCAACCCCAAGGCAGCAGATACAAGGCACCGGTGAAGCTAAAATCTACGACCAGAGAATAAAAAGAGTACATCTTGGGGACTAACAGGGGCTAGACGGGATTGCGCCAAGGAAGGAGCTCTCCATCGACACGCCGAAGGAAAAGCAGAGCTGCTCTCACCAGAGCCAGCAAGAAAACAGGGCAACCACTCGAGCACACCCGAAGCCACAAATTGCAACTCGCACATGAGGAGCAGGCCGCAGACACTAGCCATAGGAACCGAGCACTTCAAGAAGACACGGCGAGCAATGGTCAACGACGCCACCAGGAGGGCCGAGCCACACCAAGACCAGCGACACTCCTCCAACAACGCGACCAGACCGCCGTAGAGGGGACCACTATCCCCTCTCGCCCAGGCCGAGGGCGTCGATCCACCGGACAACCGGACCGCGCAGAGGAGGAAATGAAGCAGCTTGAGGAGGACATCTATCCTCCATGGCGGGAAGTCACCGCTGGACGAAGGATCCGCCGCCAACAAGGACACCAAAGGCTTGCCGCAGGCCACCCTCCATCCCACAACCCAAAACGACGCCTTCAAGAAGGAGGTGCAGAGGCACCGTCGCCGCCCAACCAAGGTTGTGGATTTTCACCCGGGAGCAGGGGAGGGAGATGGACCTCAACGTCGCCTTCGGGAAGGGGAGCGGCGCCCGGAGCGCCGCCGACGATGTGGCCGCCGCCGCCGGCCAAGAGGTTACCCCAATCCAGGGCTCCCCACCCCACCACCACGACGTCGTCCACCGGATCTGGCAAGACATGGCGAAGGAGAGGCCGCAGCAGGAGCCAAAGGAGGCATCTTCAGATCTAGAGAGGCCGGACACGGGGAACCGACCACCAGCCGCTCGGATCCACCGCCGGCCCGCCGTCCTCACAGCCGGGCAGAGACGGCCCACCGTGCCAAGGGACGCCGCCCGCCGCCGGGGAGCGCCGCCCGCACAACCTGGAGCCGTCGCCCCGAGCCCAAGCCCCCTGCCCAGCGGCAGAGCGACAGAGAACCCTGCCGCCGCCCTCATCAGCGGCAGCGCGGGGAGCCCCGCGATTGCCTCTGGCGATGGCGAGGAGGGGAGGCTGAGAAGGGGGGCTGGCGGCGGCCAGGG